GAAACAATTTGGTGTGAAGCCGATTTATTGCACTTTTTGCTTTTCTACTCGTTATATTGCTCTTTAGAATAATGTATTTTATTTTGTTCAAATAGGGACTGCAAGGTGGATTGGTGGTTAGCACCGTTGCCTCGCAGCAAGAAGGTCGCCGGTGAGGACACCTGGGATCTTTCTGCGTGAAGTTTGCATGTTCTCCCCGTGCAGCCACATAGTCCAAAAACATGTTGAGGTTAATTGGTGATTCTAAATTGTCCGTAGGTGTGAATGTGAGTGTGCTTGGTTGTCTGTCTCTAAGCGTAGCCCTGTGATAGACTGGTGACCTGTCCAGGGTGTCCCCTGCCTTCGCCCTAAGTCAGCTGGGATAGGTTCCAGCCCCCCGTGACCCTAGTGAGGATTAAGTGGTGTATAGATGATGGATGGATATTATTCAAATATTACAAGTGAATTTTGGTACAAGTCCCAAGCTGGATCTAATTGTCTGTAGAACTGGAGAAAAATACATCTGGTCTATATTTTAGTAGCCCTGTTTTCTCTGATTTGAATCACAATTTTACTTAGTTTTCTCTTTTCCGATCAAAATTCTACCTAGATTACAGTCGACATGTTCCTTGGCTCCTCTTCACGTGTATACTTGAGTATTCTGTGATTTTTGTTATTTTCTCCATTTACATGCACTATTTTATATCACTGACTTTTTTCTCTCCCACACTAAAAGAAGAGAATTGCTGGACCAACTTAAATGGATTGCTTTAAACAGTAACACACATTTGAATTAAGTATATTCAGATTAAGGTAATGTAATTGCTACTGGTTTAAGTTAGATTTACTTAGATTATTTGATTTATTTCAACTGAGAATTCATTATAAGGAATGTCAACTTAACGTTTTCGACCTTCCAGTTAAGATATTAATATTAGATAGTATGATTTTATCATGAGACGTAGCGCTCTCTTTTCTACTTAAAGAAAACAGCATTTAGGTTGCATTGACATCCTGATGTCAAATGCACAATGTTAAAAGGAGTAATGAACCTAGTTTCTGCACTTTTACCAAAATAAAATATGAGTCTAAAGGGACAAATTGCAATTTCAAGTTGATAGAATCCAACACCCATCACCAAAGTAGAAAGATAAACAAGATTCATTCAAAACTACAGCTCACATATATTTTTTACAAAACATAGTTTGTGTACGACCTGTCCAGGGTGTCCCCTGTCTTCGCCCTAAGTCAGCTGGGATAGGTTCCAGCCCCCCCGCGACCCTAGTGAGGATTAAGCGGTATATAGATGATGGATGGATGGATGGATGGATGGATGGATGGATGGATGGGTTGTGCAGTGCCTTCCCTATCCTCTCTCTCCCTTTACCTCTCTGCAGATATTTCTTTCTCTAGAGCTGCACAGGTCTGATCTGGACACAACAAACTGTTTATGATCTTGTTTGTTGGCTGTTTCTCTCTCCTATTAGTCTAAACCCCAACCATTCACGGCTCATGGCCGCCCTCCCTGAGCCTGGTTCTGCTGGAGCTCTCCTCCTGGTAAAAGGGGGTTCTTCCTCTCCATCATGACCAACATGCTGCTCATACGGAGCATAACGACAATTTGATATGTTGGCTTTTTCATGTACAATATTGTCAGGTCTTTGCCTTAATCTTTAGTCAGGTAGCTTCATAGAGTACATAACCTTGTCGTTTTTTAACCTTGACACTGAACTAAAAAGCTAAATTGTATTAAACATGAACATAATATTTGCATAAAATGTAAATATTCAAAGGAGTGCCATTTATTTGTATGATTAACAATATTGTAGGATTGTGGTTCCACAACTTAACATGAAGTTAGTCAAGTAAATTAGCCTTTTATATAATAGTAAAGTGTTTTAACCTTAATGCTTAAACAGGTCAAGCAAATTCAGCAAAGTTAATAACATTGTAGGTCCTTAACCATAACATTTAAGCCAGGTTTATTTGTATTATGTATAATATTGTAGAGTCTTAACCCTAATATCTAAATGATCCCAGTTAACTTTACATAATTACTCATATTGCAGGGTTCTAACCATAACACTTAAACATGTTAGGTTTATCTGTATGACTCATAACACTGTAAGGCCTTAACCTTAACATTTAAGCCAGGTTTACTTGTATTATGTATAATGTTGAAGGGTCTTAACCCTAATATTGAAATTAGCCCAGTAAACTTTGCACTATTATTCATATTACATGGTTTTAACCATAATATTTAAATACGTTAGGTTAATTTGTATTATAAATAATATTATAGGGCCTTAACCGCAATATTTAAACTTTTGAACACGGGTCTTATTTCCAAGCACTGCGGCTCAGTGTCTGTTGTTTTAAATGTGATATATAAATTACGATAAATGTCCACCTTCTCCAACTTTCCGTACACCTTCTTCTGCTTCTTACATATCAACAACTGAATAAGTAAATAAAAAAGAACCACTACCGACAAAAAAAACTTTCAAATTATTCACATTAGCTTACCTGGTCTGGTGCCCCGGAAACAGTTCTCCATGGCGAAGCCGGAATTACTTCCTGTGCTGTCTCACTTGTTGACCGGTTTTTATTATCTCGGTTTAAGGTTCGTGTTTTTATTGATCCAGGACAACACTTTCAGCCACATAATATGGCGTCAATTTGTGTTTTTAACTTAAAAAATGAAGAAAACCTTCTCTGTGGTTCTGATTCGATTTGAATTCGGAGAAACGCCGAGAGCGCGCAGCGTGCGTCTGACGTCACCGGAGAGTTTCCGCGCCAAGATGGTTCCGCCTCAGACTGGCTCATCTGGACTTTACCTGCTACCCGCTTATATCAGAGAAGTCTGTCCTGAAACCACACACAGGCGTTAGCCGACAAATTACTAGCCTGAAAAGTTGGAGAACTTCTCTCTCGTGTTCTCCCAGCAGCCCCTCTTCGTTTATGTCGGTATTCTAATCATAGCTATTAAGTACTTAGTAAGGACTTGAGTAGATTTCTTATAATTAAAATCCAGTTCAATCTCACCCTGTGCCCAGAGAAGTTTTTTTTTTTTTAAATGAAGGTAGTCGTAGCAATATCAAAGAGAATACACATTACTTATCTGTTCATTCTTTAAGCAAAATGCTATATCCACAAATCCAAATTTAACATCTCTAAATCTTAGCGTTCACTTTGAAAATGAAACGGAAAAAGGACAAAGAATTTCCTGGAGTTTTTTTTTTTTTGTAACTTGTTTATACGTTTTTTTCTGGTTAAATGAACTTAAAACGCTTTAGAACTTAAAAACATGAGTTCTAACAACTTGAGCCTTTTGATTGAATCAACAGCTGAGACTTCATTTAACTCTTTAATGTCTTCAGACCTGGCGACCACATGCATGGACATCACATTTTGGGTTACATTACCACAGTAGTTACATTTTTGTTTTATTTTATTATTATTTAATTTTTATTTTTTTGCTATTTTTTGTAGATATATTTTTTTATTTTTTTAAATACATTTTCTAAATATATTTTTATTTTCTTTATATTTTTAGTTTTTATTCCTCTTTGTTATTTGATCAGATCAAATAACAAAGAGAAATTTAAAAAAAAAATGCATATCATATAAGAGCTGGAGTCTTAAGAGGTTAAATTGAGCTTATAAGAAACAAAACTCGCATATATGCAGCGGCCCACGGATGCATTGTTGACAAAGGTCTGTGCTGAGTTCAGTTCCTACGCCCAAACACGTCTAACTTATCTCGCTGTAACTGGGAGCAGCCTCACAGATTATTTTTGTCCTGACTCTGGTCAAAAAGGACTTCAGTGTTAGATGAAGAAGGAACTCTTTAATAGTAGAAAATGTAAAAGGAAAGCAAATCTGTCTGTGATTATTGTCCATGTGACAAGTTGATTCAACTTAATATCTTGACTTTATTATACTTGCTTTCTCAAAGTGTGGTTAATGTAACTCAGTTTTACATAATTCTAACTTTTCCATAACTCATAAAACGATGTTGAACTAAGTAATCAACCAGAGTGCAGTTATCTTTCATTTTTAAGGCAACAGGGAAGCTTGTTTTTCGATAAACTTAAAACGTACAGTGCAAGCAATACATTAAGATTCTTTTTTTTCAACCAATATTAACAAGGCTAACAATAATAATCATGTGCACAACCTTAGATGTCTTTACGTGAATACATAATGTAATCTGGCATTATTCACCTCACCACTTTTGTATAAAGTACATTCAGTGCTGTTGGTTGCCCCACATTTACATCAATATAAACAGAAACATTGTCACTAAAAGCCAAATTCAGAATCAGAATATTTTGCCCAGTAGATTTTAACACATGCTTCACAGCAAACACTGACAAGTACAACATTTAAAGAAGAATAAAGAATAAATTTTTAGTGTTAAATTGAAAAAATAGCAAGTGTTATAAGAAACATGAGAAGCAACAGTTATAAGTCAAATGTCATATTTTTTATATAAATCTCTAGACTCTACAAAAGTCTTGCTTTTGTCTTGCACAGTTTGTTAATTCATAGTTGTTCTTTGCACTGAATGGGATTGCACCCAACTTTATTGGACTTTTTTTTTGGTATAATGACATTAAAGGATTCTGATTCTGAAGTCAAGTAAAAGCAAATGTAGCAAATCACAGCTATCATGAAATAAAGTAGTCATAATGGTATTTAGGTGAGACAGCAGTACAAACTTTGAACATATTTTTGCCTGTTTCAAGCTTTTGCAGCAAATTGCAAAGCTGCTTAACACAAAAATAGAATGGGAGAAGTTATGTACTCCAAACTGTAAATGATTCATGCAACAAACAGTACATTTGACACGTGATATGTTGTTTAATTTGCTCGCACTATTGCACTTCTTGAACTAAAAGGCAACGAAAGGGTGTATGCGCTGAGGTCTAGGCTGTGAATGAAAGTGACCAAAGACGTGAGTGCGTGGGAGGGAACTCTCTCGCCGCGCATGTCTGTTTCGGTCTCTCCGCTCTCTCTCGGCTCTGGTTTTGTGTGTTGGGGGGATGGGGCCGTGCCGAGGATGAGAGACTCCAAATATTTACCACTTGGCTAACTAAATATCTTTCTTTTTCGAACTGGGTTTCCTCCTTTGCTCTTGGACATATAAGTACTTTTTGGCCACGCATGAGTTTCGGCGGAATTCGGCCAAAATAAAGTGGACTATCTCTACGTCCACGACACACGCTTAAAAAAGTCGACAAAATGTATTCCTCTGCTGGAGGTAAGTGCTGCTAGCATTAGCATCGGCTAAGTGATGCAGCTAGCAAAATTTAACGCTCTAACTTAGTTGCTGCATTTTTCGCTTGCCTCGCAGCGAGCCGTTGCTAACACGCACACCGAGTGCCTGTTTCATTGAGCTAGTTATTAGAAAACTCAACGAAGCCTTTGGCGAAGAACATGTCGTCCCAGACTTAAGTGGAGGCATTAGTAACAGAGGCGAGCTTAGCTAGCGTGCAACAACAACAAGCTGCTGTTAGCCAAGTTAGCTTCGGCGGCACCTCGTTTTCCGAACTTGTTTTTAGTAAACTTTCCGGTCTAATTTAACGAAATAGGGCTCGACTGGCATGCGTTTTCTCAGCAAATGGTACCGTTGCGAACACGTGGATCATCATCTTGAGGGCTTTGCAGTCAAACACAAAGCACATAGTTAAAGCAGTATTCAGCGGCCGACCATGCAATCTAATCTCATCCACAATCTTAGCTATGATTAGCTTAACAGTGTCCAAGTCAAATTTGATCAATTCATTTGTGTGAAACTGCTTCGCACATCTTATACGTTACCTGACGCCGTCAAATGGCGTTGTCTATCCAACGCAAGACTTTATGACATTAAAGAATATAATCGAGAAGTATGTCCATGGAGTTTGGCTGAGGATGGACACAGTAGCAGTATAGTAGTGGACTCGTTGGGCAAGGACACACATTATTTTTTTCTTTTAGCAATGTAGACATCGTCATTTGGCTTTTAAAATTCGAGAGAGTAAAACAAAGAGCTGCAGTTCCCTCCAATGCAGTAATGGTTTTAGAGTTTGTTTTCTTTGTGCTCTTTGCAGACCTGAAATACGACTTGGTGTGGAGTCGTAGGCTATTACCATAAGAAAAGGGTGGCTTCAGCAGAGCTAGATAGCCAGCCTGCTTGATACCTTCTGTTTAGTCAGTGATAAGAGTCGCTCGATTGTGGACGGTGGTGCTGTGAAAGTGATAGGAGACGTGTTGAGAAAGAGCAAGTGTTTGCAATTGCTGTGAAGAATGAGTAGCACTTTGTACTTTCCTAACCTAAATCAAGAAATTGTTTTCAGCTTGTTTAACAGTAAGTTTACATTTCAGTCCGTTTGTTAAGTGTGTGTTTTAACCACTCTTTATAATTCAGCGTGTGTCAGACCAAGTGGATTTCTAACATGTAATTTTTGTCCTCTGCAGCTGCTGAGATGCTTGAGGGACCTCGTTCCTCTGGGTCAATAAGCTCTGGTAAGTTTTTCCCATATTTGGACTTTAAAGCCGTAAACTGGTCCCAGCACTGGTCCACTGTAATTGGCCACATTATAGTTTTTTACATCTTTTCAAGCATCACATCCGAAGTGCAATTTAACATTATGACTGAAATTGTCCAGAAAATAGGACACGGGTGAATTGGTGCCGTAGGTGAGATTCTAAAGACGGTGTCATTCTAGATAGCCAGTTTCCTTCTAAATGCACCTCATTCTGTGCTCAGAATTGCCTTGTACTTTTACACACTAAAGGGCTTTCATTAAAAGCCACCATACATTATGAGGTTTTTATGGGTGTCCTTCTGTTTGAATAAACAGAACTGGAGCACAAAGATAAGACGCCAAAGAGAAAGGAGTGTGTGCACGGACAGTCTGAAGTATCTGAAGTTGCAGATATGCTTTTGAAAAAGCATGTCTACTAGCGATGAAAGCTTCGTACGTCTTCCCCAGGAAGATGCAAAGCATGCTGACTCATGAAAAAAAAACACCTTTAAGGGCTTAAAAGAACAGACTGGTTCTGATTTGAAGCTGGGAAGGTTTCCGTCTTGAGCTGCATGTTAGTCGCTGACTGTTCTAGTTTTGTTAACATTGTTGACGGTGGCCATCTCACAGATATAGTTGTACTGCTGACTAGAACATATTAAATAGAATATACAGTATATTTAAACAGTCGAGTGAATCAGTCAGCTGGAGTTCCTAACAATCAGAACTATGCAGTGTTGTTTAAAGATTGTGTCTCTCCCTCCTAATATTTCTAAAACTTGCGAGCCAGGTGGAGGAACCATCTTAGTTAATGTGTCACTGAAACAGAGCAGTCATCCAACTGACTGCCTTGAAGTTATTCCATTTCAAGTTACTGGTGGAGTAATTTGGTCAGTACTCATTAGGGATACTCCTGACTCAAGCAAATGCCCATTTAGCTTCATAGTATATCACATTTTGGAATTTGTGAGGGATCGGCTCTTGTTAGAATGAAATCCATGTTGGTATAATTCAGGCCACATGTAATAGACTAATTGTCTGGCATGGCTGTGGACATTACGCAGAACTCATCCTGACTGGTTTTACTAGAGAAGTTTTACATCGATAATATTTGATTCATGTAACCATTCCTCATCGCACTGAACTCATGAATCAAACATGTTACCACACTTAGATTCACTTATAAATGCTGAGCAATACGTTTTAAACAGCTCTGTTTTCCAATATCATTCCAGTAATACCTAACTCAAGGTTAAAACATGCTTTTATGTTCTGTATGATCAACTTAGAAACACATTTTTTTTTGTGTGCAAGTCAAACAGTGCAGTTGTGTATGTAAACACAACTCTTATTTATGAGGTTATATACTACTGATAGGAGTCTGTCCGATGTCTGTATGGTGTGATCTTTACTTTTCTTTCTTTTTTTCCATCATTTGACCCCCCTGGCTCAGACCCCCCGTCTTCCCCAGTGCCAGAATATGTGTTCAAGCCACCGTCACGGCCAGACTTTGGCACCATGGGCAGGACAATCAAGCTCCAAGCCAACTTCTTCGAAATGGAAATCCCCAAATTGGAGGTCTATCATTATGACATCGACATCAAGCCTGAGAAATGCCCCAGGAGGGTCAATCGGTACGTCAGTGTCTATACTTCATCCACAGATCACTCAGGAAAATGCTCTGGGCCTAGTGGTAATTTACTTTTTTTTCATTTTGTTCTCAGTGAAATTGTGGAGCACATGGTCCAGCACTTTAAAACACAGATCTTTGGTGATCGAAAGCCGGTGTATGATGGAAGGAAGAACCTCTACACTGCCATGCCCTTGCCTATAGGCAGAGACAAAGTAAGTATTCTACAGGACAACTTAAATAAAATAAAACCTGTACTTTTTTTAGAAGAAAATGCATCAAAAAATATATTTAATAATTTTTGTTTTTTAAATTTGTCACAAAGGTGGAGCTTGAGGTGACAATTCCAGGTGAAGGCAAGGACCGCAGCTTCAAAGTATCTATCAAGTGGGTTTCCTGCGTTAGTCTGCAAGCTCTGCATGAGGCACTATCAGGACGACTCCCCAGCGTCCCCTTTGAGACTATTCAAGCCTTGGATGTCGTCATGAGACATTTGCCTTCGATGAGGTGGGTCGTTGTGTGGGTCGTCACTACCTGTTATTGTTCTGGCCCCTAAAATGATGTCTTCAAATCATTCTTTTGTAATGCACAACTAGCTTTCTGCTTGGAGTTGTCATATGACCACAAGGGCGGGGTGCTGTGTGAACATCTCAACAAAGAGACCTCATCAGTTCTGACTGACGAGACGGGCGGTCCACGTACTTACATCCTAAAGGAGCCATTGAAACCAAACTCAGGTGTTAATGGCCCCTTTAGCATATGAGTATCTGGCACTCCCAACTCGTCAGTCAGAACTGATCACGCCTCTTGGATGAGAGGGGAAACGCCTTCAAGGAACTCAAGTCCAGTTGCTACGAATAATCTACCAGAACATACAGGGAGATGGAGACTTGCAAAGTTGCAGGCAATTTAAGACCTCTGAATATATGAAAATCTGCTTGTACTATATGAGTAAATACACAGTTGTATGTACATAAACAGAGACCATGTTTATCTAAGGCCAAACATAGCATAATAAGGACATTGCTGAATGGTTTTCACTCGGCACTATTGAGTTTCTGCTACCTTCCATTCAGAGATTGGTTCCATTTGTTTCAATACTGTGTAACAATCAACTTGTACATGTGTCAAACTTGAAATAGATGGTATGCCTTGCTAAACACTTAATTATTTTCTGTCCAGTTAAGATTGTTATTGCATAGTAATGTAGTAGTGTAAATCTCTGTTGGGTTACATATCTTTGTGAAGGTTCTTTTGTTTTAATCAATTTGTTGAATAGTTTGTGTTCACGATTACTCAGAGGTCACCACTGACTGTTTTTTTTTTTGTGCAGGTATACCCCAGTGGGACGCTCTTTCTTCACTCCTTCAGAGGGATGCTCAAATCCTCTTGGTGGTGGCAGAGAAGTGTGGTTTGGTTTCCACCAGTCTGTCAGACCTTCCCTCTGGAAAATGATGCTAAACATTGATGGTAATTTTCACGCTTCTTTGATCAAAGTTGTATAAAGTAAAGCTGCTTCTATGAATCTAATCTATGTGTGCTTGTTTTGCTTGCAGTTTCAGCCACTGCATTCTACAAAGCCCAGCCTGTAATTGAGTTTATGTGTGAGGTCTTGGATTTCAAAAGCATTGAAGAACAACAGAAGCCTTTAACAGACTCTCAGCGAGTGAAATTTACAAAAGAAATCAAAGGTAAGGAAAATTGATTGATGCCTGGCTGTTGTTTACTCTTTTTTTTTGCAAAGAATGTGACTTATGACTTGATTGAAATTTAGTTTTAACTAATTAGTAAGTTAAAAGTCCTAAATGATATGAATCTGAAAATTGAGGTTTATGTCTGAATACTTTAAATGTATATTTTTTCATCCTTCTGTTCAGTTATATTTCTTGCTTGTGTTCTGCTCTGCCGATTGTCTATCATACATTTGTCACACAACCATTCAAAATCACACGTATTCATGAACCTCTGTTATTCTTATTTGTGATTCCTCTAATCAGGCCTAAAGGTTGAGATCACTCACTGTGGCCAGATGAAGAGGAAGTACAGAGTGTGCAACGTGACCAGAAGACCAGCCAGCCACCAAACGTACGAATGCTCTTTTATGCTCTCTTAAATCAGAACGTTGGGTGTTCTGTTTGTCGACATGAATATTAAATGAACAAAAATAATTGTGCTCCAGAAATGTGTTTTTACATAATTTGTCAAATGTAATGCCTCCAGGTAGAAAGATAACAGTCTGTGTACAACCATATCCTGACTTTTTGTTGTTGATGTGTCTTATAATGTTTGATACCAAATTTGTGACAAAGTGGTGTGAGGAGTCTCCCAGTGCCTGCAAATTCAAAAAGCTTCACAGGCATGCTGAGTGTTTCATTTGTTTATTCCCTTAGGTTCCCCCTACAGCAGGAGAATGGCCAAACTATTGAATGCACAGTAGCACAGTACTTCAAAGACAAGTACAAGCTCATCCTGCGATACCCCCACCTCCCATGTTTACAGGTGGGACAGGAGCAGAAGCACACCTACCTACCTCTAGAGGTAAGCATCACCAGCCTATTTTTTGTTTACAGCATTTACTTTTGGAAAAGTAACCTTTGGCACTATTGATTTTCTTCTAAACATGTTTTGTTTTATGTGGGGCCTCTCCAGGTGTGTAACATAGTGGCAGGACAGCGCTGCATCAAAAAGCTGACAGACAATCAGACCTCCACTATGATCCGTGCCACAGCCCGATCAGCACCAGACCGTCAGGATGAGATTAGTAAATTGGTAAGTTCTTGGGAGATAAATGTGTCCCACAGTTGTCTGCTCTGTGCCTTAAAACCATCAAAATCACAAACCTTAAAGGCTGCCGGGTTTCAAAACCTGAATTTCTACAAGTTTATCACAACAATGCGAGACAGAAGTATTTACATTCTGCCAACTGCTACGGAGTCAGGATTCATCAATAATGTTTGGCCAGTGGTGTTGGGCCAGTAGCAGACCTTGCCAAGATGGTAAACTTAGAAGCTCACCGGCTTTATCAGGCTACTGCTGGAAACATGACCAGAAAACAAAGGCAAAGTCTGAGTCATGGATGGTTGTAGTCGGCCACCAACACAACTCCTCAAAACATGAAACTATGGAACATGCACACATGCTGGCTGCTGCTGGCAACAGATATTCTTAAGCCACCAGTTGTTGGTAGTTTTTTGACCCAGTCAGTTGGAAAAGAAAAGGACAGAATACAAAATAAAAGAAACCTGAACAAATAATATTTAAAAGTTTAAGTTTGTTTAGGTTAGAGGTTAAGATAATCATATTTATTTCACCTGCTGTGTTTTTTTTTTCCTCCCCAGATGAGAAGTGCCAACTTCAACACTGACCCTTACGTTCGTGAATTTGGAGTAATGGTGAGAGATGAGATGACAGAAGTGAATGGCCGCGTCCTGCAAGCACCTTCAATACTGTATGGAGGCAGGGTAAGTTGAATGCTAGTTTGGATGTGTTGGTGGCTGCCTGGAGCACGCAGGTCGCCGCAACACAGTTCATTTATCAAGTTTTCATCGGAGTAACTTCATTGTGTGTACAGCATTAACACGGCTGGTGTCATTACATTTTGCAGAACAAAGCAATAGCCACACCAATCCAGGGAGTGTGGGACATGAGGAACAAGCAGTTCCACACTGGTATCGAGATCAAAGTGTGGGCCATTGCCTGCTTTGCCCCACAGAGACAGTGCACAGAACTCTTGCTCAAGTAAGTGAGATACATGAACTGTGTCTGCTCCAACTTGGTGCAGATGTATGTAGATGTATGCGCACCATCATTTTGATTTTATAGCAGTCAGCTTGTAATCACAGACCAGGTAGTGGTGACACATTAAGCATAGTGTAGGGGCTGAAACATGGTGTATAGAAGCAACAGAGGTAGAGAAACAAAGATGCATTGAGCTTATTGGACTTTGTGTCTCTTCATATTTCTAACTCAATGCAGTGTGTTAGTTGGAGTTTCAAATGCTACAGCCAAAAACACAGCAACAGCATGAAGTGTTCTTATCATGTTTTTTTTGTTTGTGTTTCTGTTCTTTTTTTCCCACAAACGTCACGATAACCCAGTTTGCCCAGTCTTTCCCCGTACAAAGGTAGCTCTGTGGGGGTGTTGGAGCACATGTTAACTATGTACAGCTGTGCCATGTATTTATAGTGCATAAGCCAGGCTTTATCTGCTGCCTGTGTGACTGGCAGGCCCCGTTTTATCTAGGTCTGCAGCACTAAACATAATGTTGCTAATAATATATTCTAAGTAAGTGTTGAGTTAAGAAAAGCATTTAGGTGGTTGGATTTAAAAATGGGGGTATCTCAAATAGGTAGGTTGGTAGTGCAGGAAAAACATTTCACACTATTTTAAATGTTTAAGCCCTTGTCCTACTTTTGATTTTGCTTTGATCTTTAAATTGCTCCTTACATTCAGAGCTCTAATAGTAGTTGAGTCGCACAACCTAAACTGCTATAAAATTGCTAAACCTCACTAACCTTTAACTAATCAAGTTCTTCATCTCTCAGAGCTTTCACAGATCAGCTGAGGAAGATCTCTCGTGATGCAGGGATGCCCATCCAGGGTCAGCCTTGCTTCTGCAAGTACGCCCAGGGAGCTGACAGCGTGGAGCCAATGTTCAGGCACCTCAAGTACACCTACCAGGGCCTACAGCTGGTGGTGGTCATCCTGCCGGGGAAGACACCAGTCTATGGTGAGGGACCCATATAAAATACATTTTTCTTACACTTTCACATTGCCAGAGCAGTCGACCTAACCGTCCCCGCCCCCCAAAATGGCTGTAATCAGTCAGTGTATCTCTGTGCATTTTCTGTCAGGAACACAGAACACTACCTGATCATGTTCAAGTAAGAGTAACTCCTGATTGTCCTGATGTGTTTGTAGCTGAGGTGAAGCGTGTTGGGGACACAGTACTTGGCATGGCCACACAGTGTGTGCAGGTGAAAAACGTTCAAAAGACAACACCTCAGACGCTCTCCAACCTCTGTCTGAAGATCAACGTCAAGCTGGGCGGCGTCAATAACATCCTCCTCCCGCAGGGCAGGTGAGTGGAAATACCGCTACAGTCAAAGTTTTAAATTATTTTTGTAGATTCATGTCAAACATTTCTAAGAATTCTCATCATAATAAAAATGAGATGTTTACTATTTTCCATCACTGCTAAAGCCATTTCTTAGAATTTTGTCTGCATCTCTTAATCTGTGTTTTTTGTTCCAGGCCATTGGTGTTCCAACAGCCAGTGATCTTCCTTGGTGCAGATGTGACTCATCCACCTGCAGGAGATGGAAAGAAGCCTTCCATCGCTGCTGTAAGTAACATCACACCACAGCAAGAAGGTCAACCCTTCACAGAACACTTTAATTGTAAAGAGTCAGTGTAAAAAAAAAAAAGCCCTCTTCATCTTATTATTTTTTTTTGCTGCTTTCGCTGCCTGGACAGACACAGAGCCACATTACTCATTATGTTTGCTTAAATGTGACCTTCACAATTTGAAATGTATTCTACACCTTGACATCACTACCTCAAAAAAAAGTGAAATACAAAGTGAAGTGTGGCTTTGTTCTCAGAGCCATTGCTTTATCCAGCTGTAGTCTGCAGGCCTAAAGCAGAAGTAGTTTTTTAGAGGGTTAAGTGCATGTGAATAAATTCCCCATTTCACTTGGGTTGTTAAAGATGGATCACCTTTTAATGGCAACATTGTGATTTGGATCTATTCCTTCAGTTTAGTAATATTTTCTTTTCCTTTTTAGGTGGTTGGTAGTATGGATGCCCATCCCAGTCGATACTGTGCCACAGTGCGGGTGCAGCAGCATCGTCAAGAAATCATCCAGGACCTGGCCACCATGGTGAGGGAGCTGCTCATCCAGTTCTACAAGTCCACCCGCTTCAAGCCCACCAGAATAATCTACTATCGAGACGGCATCTCCGAGGGCCAGTTCAACCAGGTGATACTTGTCAGTGATGATACAGATTCATGTAAATTACAATTAGACAGTCAGATTATGTGAACAGTTTTATTCATGCAGTGCTTACTGTTAATGTCTAACCTTCTGTATCAGTGTAAATTTAGTTCATGTCAAATTTGGCTTAATGAATATGCATTCTTTTTCTTGTTCATCTTTCACATCTTTTGAATTTGTTGCTTGCAGGTTCTTCAGCATGAGCTGCTGGCGATCCGCGAGGCCTGTATCAAGCTAGAGAAGGACTACCAGCCTGGTATCACCTTTGTGGTTGTGCAGAAGCGACACCACACAAGACTGTTCTGCATGGACAGAAACGAGAGGGTCAGTATTGTATCATTGGTATGGAGGGGAACTGTATATGTTGAATAATGAGAGAGTGCATACAAGTTTGAGAAATACACAGTCATTTTTTTTTAAAAATTGGCGATTACTTTGTGAAAATTTTTCATAAAAGGAGTGTCATTTTAAGTGGTCCTCTCACAAGATTAGGTTTGTAATCTAAATGTGTGATTTTACATCCCCTGCTGTGTGGATTTTTACAGGTTGGGAAGAGTGGCAACATTCCAGCAGGCACCACGGTGGACACCAAAATTACTCACCCATCAGAGTTTGACTTCTATCTTTGCAGTCATGCTGGCATTCAGGTAAGAGATGAGTTATGATCAGCATGAGTCAAGTAGAACTTTATTGTCTATGAGGGTAACTGTCGTGCAACAGCGATAACCCAAGGTCAGAAACATACAAGGCAATGATATTGCTTTTTATTATACAACATATTGCCCCTACAATCAAAGCTTAGCTTATTTATTCAATAAAATGTAGTCAAGTACTTAAATGACTGAACTTTCTCTCTATCCTGACCATTGTTGTTAGTTTTGACAAGCTTGGCTGGATAAAACTTGTACACATATCCTTGATCTTTGCAGTATTTATTCTAAAAAAGCTTCCCGACACCATTTTGAAAAATGCTGTCTTGTCAAGGCCACAGCTTCTTCGAGCATTACAGTGTTTAAAAGTATTCACAATACTGGGTTGAAAAGGACGAGACAGATTGACTGGAATTCATGTTTTCTGCATGATTGACGAAACAGTTGCGCTGCTAAAATCGTGCACGACAAATCTTGAATAAAACATAATAAACTCCTGCACCAGAGCCAGATCTAATGAAAAGCCTTCCATAACTACTCTTTTCACCATGTCATGGTTCTGACGCAGTGTCAGGATGAGCCTTAACTTTTATTGCTTACTTTGTATTCAGCCTTTTGACTGTAGCCCAGTTGAGCCCTCCTCTTTTCACATTTATTGCCTTTTCCCAAAACATTGAGCTCATTGCCTAATGCACTTTTTTTTCTTATTTAATAACACTTTAAACTCTTTTCTTACTCAGGGCTTGCTGTTTAGATAGATTTTTATCAGTGCCCTCACAATATGATACCCATGAAACGACCAGTTATGTGAGTTTGTTCATGTCCCGAGATGATCAATGAACTCCTCTTACACAGGAAATCCAGAAAGCCTTGCAGTGTCAATTTACCTGCTCTGGCCAGAGTTTCACCTGTGTGGTGAACGCTCCTTCCCACTGTAGCCTTGTGCGATATGCTTGAATAAGCTCAGTTGAGAGGCAGTGCTGTAGTTAGTCTTCAGGTGAAACTAAACCACATGTAAAGGCACACCAAAGCTACAGAAAGTCTCTGGTGTATAGAATCTTGTTAGACTGAGAGCCAGCATTCAGCCAGGTAAGATGCCAGCCACAGTCTACACACTGCTGCTAATCTGCTTTGTGTGCGTTTGCTTAAGGAGTCCACTACTAAACTACAGAGTAAAAGTTTGCCATGCACCTGTGTTTCATAAATCTTCTCATAAACACAAGTGCTAAACCTGTCATCCATTATCACGTCTGGCAGGGAACCAGCAGGCCGTCTCACTACCACGTGCTCTGGGACGACAACCACTTCTCTTCAGATGAACTGCAGGTCCTCACCTACCAGCTTTGTCACACCTACGTGCGCTGCACCCGGTCAGTTTCCATCCCAGCACCAGCCTACTATGCCCATTTGGTGGCTTTCCGGGCTCGCTATCACTTGGTGGACAAAGAACATGACAGGTGAGGAGGAGAGCATTTACCCTTCCAAACATTTATTGTCTTAGCAGACAACCTTGTACATAATTTAATGAATAATCAAGCCTTAACACATGCTCATGACAGCTATACAATGCGTTTACCCATCTGCAATTTTCTCTTTCCAGTGCTGAGGGCAGTCATACATCAGGCCAGAGCAATGGGCGTGACCACCAGGCCCTGGCCAAGGCTGTTCAGATCCACCAGGACACCCTACGCACCATGTACTTTGCCTGAGAGCACACAACCCAGGTTGGCGTGGGTGAGACCCAACTGATGGAACACACTACCCCTCGCTGTCTCACTGTCAGCTGTAGATAGCATCACAGTGGTTTCACATCGTGATCTCCCTACCTAACAAACCTGTCAGTTACAACTATGTCTACAATTGTACTTCAGCCCTGAAACCCACCAAAACCAAACCAGCTATTAGACTGTAAGATGCAAAAGAATCCCTCTTTCTTGAGGAGCTGGAAGAGGTTTTATTTACATGTTTTGCATTAGTGTGCATTCGTATTTGTTGTAGGGAATTATGTTGCAAAGTATGAAAGGAAATGGTAACGTTTTTACACTGACAGAAGAAATCTACCATTTCCAAACTAGTGGGCTGTACCAGTAAACAGTGGAGTGGTTAAGGATTTAGAAGAAGCGACTCACCCTCTTCCTCTTTTTTTGGTTTGTTCGAGTCTTGGTGCTTGAAGGGAGAAGGAAAAATCTAAAGATGAGGGGGTCCATTCACTGTTTATATGCCTAACGATTTAGTCCTCTGACAAACATTTATTTATCAGCCAATCAAAGCAAAGTGCACTGACCAGAATGGGTACTTCAATCAGGACAAAAGTACTTAATATATAGAGGGTTGTGTGTGATTTTTTTTTTTTTTCTTTTTTCACATAGGGCACTATGTGATTAAAAGTGCCATTTGAGACCATCTTTTTGTTGTCACTTCTATGTAAAACTATGAATTAGTCGGCCCACGTCTGCTGGGTTTTCAGTATTTGTCCTTGATTGACACCGATGACCATTTTATGCCAAATCTGGTGACGACTACAGGATTCTTTGCATCAGATTTGTTCAACCCTTGAACCAACACTTTGTAGTGTTTAGATAGAGATTGCGAGAACAGCAATTTTATCCTCCTCTGCCCCACTTATTAGCCTGAACTGATAAAGTTGCGACAGTAACCTAATTCTCACACAGAGAAATATTGGGACTGGCTCCCAACAAGGACACCTTTCTAATGTATTCTGAGCCGTGTTAATGAAAGACACATGATGTAGAAATCACCGTAGAGGGGAACGTAATGAAATCTTTTCAGTTCCCTTCTGTTTTTATAGTCTTTTTTTTTTTTTTTTTTTGCAATGAATATGCATGTAGCTGACTCATGTTCTAGACATTTAGGCATTTGTGATAATTGTTTCTTTCTTCCTTTATACACATCAACCCTATTTCTATTTTTCAATGTATATAGCAGCAGCAGCAGGATAGTGTTTTCTGCAGCGTCATTGTCGGAGCGGGATATTTGTGCGGCTTCTCGATATCCAGGCATTCGGTACAGCGGAGTGAAAGCTGCAACGTTTTAGATTCTAACTGATCGAAATTCCCTTGAAAGAACCTCTTTAATATAGTGTTTGCTCCGCGAATCGGGAGCAGCAGTCATCGCACAAAAGCTTGGGTTTTATGCAAATGACTTTTTGTGAGTCTTTATACTATATAGTAATGTTGGTAATAAGGTATATTTTGAATAAGCTTTCAGTGGAGGCTGCTGAAAAAATGATAGAGAATTTTTTAAAAAAGACTGGCCCACATGTAGTCTAAATTAACACTGTCTATTTGTATACAGATTTAAAATGCAAATGTTCTCTTGCCTTCTAAGACTGTTAGTCTTACTAATAAACATTATTACATAATAATAACATCCCACCTAAGTTTTACTACTAAGTTAAGCTGGCGAATGTTCACATAGTCTTGATTGGAGGCGAGTAGTCTATATTTTCTAACTATGCATCGTTTTTAACCAAGAGATTTAGCAGTGGGATATCTCACCTGAATTTGGGTCATTTATAGATGTAGATAATCAGGGCTTTTTATGTTGTTTTTTTAGCATATTGCATTTAGTAGCGTTTCTTAGGGCTTATCGGCGTCTTCATGCCTTTCTAACGGGATGAAGTATTGATGTGGTCATTTGTAACATTGTAGATTTTCTAGCCTAAAAAAATTGGCTGCATCCTTTGTAACACACAATCTTTCCTAGCCAAACAAGATTACAAACTTTTACATGATTAATATTCCAAAAAAAAAAACACACAAAAAAAAAAAACAAGATATGGAAGCACAAAAAAGGACATCTTGATTCTAGGTGCTAGAAGTTTTCACTGTAAACCACCTTAAATCCTCACTGGACTGGTCCACAAGGCTTTTTAGTTGTACCGCTAAAAAGATGCTTCATCATTTCGAGGATCTTTTCTCTCCCTTTGATGACCTCCTTTTACGTTTCCCCCCCCTTTTTACTCGTTACCTGTAAAGCAACTAGAAATCCGACTGACTGTGTTTGTGGGGCATTCTGAAAAAAAATCATGTACTTGATATTTACTGTTATGATGTCAATATTGTTCTTATCGGTGCTGGTCTCACAACATGTAAATTTGGATGCACTTTTGATAGCAGAACATTTGGTATGACTTCTTTTAGACGTGTGTTCCTCAATTGAAGCGGGAGGCTCGGCCATATTGTGCGACACTGGTGTAATTGTATAGAAATGGCCGTGTGTTCTACCTCTTGTTACCTGTTTTAAGTGTTATGGTAACGTCACACTGCTGGTCATTTCTGTATAATTACCCCTGCTATCTATCTAATTGGCATTGTTTGAGTCTTGCATTGACAGTAGAAGTTTTAAACGCTTGGTGTGCATGATGGTGAACGCGCTTTTTTCAGTTTTTTTTTTTTTCTTAGTTTTAGCTCAAACTGATGAGAGAGAATGTGTTTTTTTTTTTTTTTTTTCCTTGTATGAGTTTTGAGTGCTGAGCTGTACGACCAAATTCTTGAACTGTGTTTGTACCTACACACAGCTTTCCCTGCTTTCTTTCCTTTTTACTCTATGCACCACTAGAATGACAGACGTTTGGTTTTCCACCCGAGCAGTGTAACAACAATTGCAAAGCCCACATCTGCCACAATCATTGTGCGTCCTTGCGCAGGACAATGAACCCTAGTGATGCTGTTATTCAGATGGAGAATAAAAGTTGCCTGAAACAGCTCACAGGACGCCTGTTGGAATCAATGTGAACAGATAAAGATGTGTAGGTGTTTGAGGATGTGAATCTCACCACAAAAACATTTACTTCTCTGTACAGTCATGCCTGTAAATTCTTAACTTAAACAATACTTTTTGTTCTGATCTGGTCACAATGGATCAACGATTCTTACATTTCAGGAGAAGCCTCTGTTTGGCTCTCTGTTTGGAAGTCCTTGTCTCTGTGAATGCCGGCTTTTGTAATTTGGCCACAAGTATTCGAAATGTTCTGACTGTGTTCTGAATTTAGTGTATTGGAGAACACAGAAGTGACCTATCATGAATTGCTAAACTTAATACCTGGAACATCACAGACATAAAAAAAAAAAAAAACAAACTACCTGGCTTGGAAACTTGTAAGGCCTAATAAAAGAGATGGGTTTGTACTTGTTGTTACTGCTTCACTGCTTTCTACATTACCTATACCAGCACCTTATAATACCAGATCAGAATGGCATTGCTTTTCCTGGACATAAAACTCAAATATTTCATTATGTTTTTTTGCACTAAACAAGAATGGACTTCGTAGCTATTCATGCATTAAGAGTATTTATCAGGGGCCAGACTGGCAGCCTCTATTTTTTCTGTTTAGTTTTTTTTAAAAAAAGCATTGGTGGCTCTTCAAAACACAACATGCACAGCCAACAGGAGTCTCCATGTGTGCGCTCGCCATTCAGAGATAGGCAGCAGACCAGCTGATCGGGAGGGATTCTGTCCAGCCAACCAGCATTCAGCGTGTCACTTTTCAGAAATATCCTGAGGCCTTTAAATGTTTAACGAGAGAGTGAAATTTGTAGTCGAGTGGGTGGGTTGCCTTTGTACACTGATGATGAGAATTTAAAAAAAAAAAAAGGTGCTTTATGCAAAAACAAACTGACAGGTGTTGAAAGGAGGTGATTGGCTGTGGCTCGTAGGGTTGTGTTTTTTTTATTGCGATCACTTCTTGTTGGATGCCAAAGTGCTGTGTGAGGATAAACTGTGCTGGAAGGTTCGACATGGTCCCTGTCCAAGACTGCAAAGTGCATATGAAATCATACTTCAAACAAGGCCTCTGTGTGTCAAACACCACCGTAAACTATACATATCAGGACTCAGAAGAGGCTTTTTCCTTTTTAAATCATGTTCGTCATCGTGAGTTAAATCAAGAATGTTTATAAAACAAATACTCCTAGCCTGGATGAATGAATGTGGCACTGTTTACAAGTGAAATGGTGCACAAGGTGCTTAGTAAGGCATTCAGAGATATTACAGGATACCTTTTTTTTCTTTTTTTTTTTTTCTTAGACATGTAAATTAAATGCATACATTCACCTCAGTTTGGCTGTTCTTCCGTTATCTTTTAGAGTGGCCAAAACCTGGCTAAAGCAGGTTCTAGAAACGGCTGTTTTGTAAAGTTATCGGCATATCATAATAAGCTAATTGAATCAGTTCGTTGTATTTTTCAAAATAGCAGCTTTTCCTTTTTTTTTTAGGTGTATGTAAATTTTAGGTTGAAAGAGGCTGAGACAAAAAAATTTCTTCAAGTCTAACGATCAGCCTGTTTACTTTTTTTTTTTTGATTTCGAATGGTCTTGGAATAAAAAGATATGAAGCAAAGCAACAACCAACACATGACATTATTCCTCACCATGACCCTCTGTACAGTAACGTCTCTCCTTTCTGCCGCTTATCCGTCTCTTGTAGAGAAACTATTGCTGATATAAAGAAATCTCTCGTAGAGTAGAGCCTATTTTCCTAGCTCCAAATAATAACGATGAATGTAATTAGAGCCTGTGTGGTTTGTATTATTGTATAGGCTTATCCATCCAGTACATTTATACTCATCTTTGCTTCTCGTGTACAGCCTTCTTCTTTTTTTGTGTGTGGTGTTTTTCTCTTATTTATAGGCTTTAATAGGTTTCGGAAAGTATTATTTTCTTCTTTAAGATCTCATTGGTTTAGACGATACCCACATCACAGCTGATCTTTTGACCGATTAACACGAGATACACAAGTCTACAGCTGAGATGTCTGTCTCTGGATGTTGGCTACTGTAGACGTTTCACACTGGTGCAAAGAGTAGTCATCTTTTTTTTTTTGTTTTTGTTCTGGCGAGGTGCCGTAACACAAGAGCAGTGTGTGTAGATATATATATATGAGATGGTTGCTTAGGTGTGTGAGCTTGTTTGCTGTTAGATTTTTGGCTCTCAGTCTGATATTCCCTGTCCAGCCCTTGCAGAGTTGTTCCTTGTAAAATCTTCAAAGTCCTTCCCGACTTTGGCTTATTGAACTCCTTAGCGCAGTGCCACATGAAGAAGCTTTGAGTGTCGCTTGTGTTCCTTACTTTCGTCAGGTGTTTTACTACGCAGCTGTTTTTCTGGATTTATAAATGACCGTCTATGATTCACATAGCACTCGACCGGCTCCAGCGGGCATAATTTTCCTGTTCCTATTCTTAGATAAACTTCTCTGATGCGTCAGACAGTTGTCGCGCCAACGTCCCACCCGATTACCTTGTATGACGCCAGCGTGGTGTCCACAAGACCCTGGCGGTCAAAGTTTGCCGATATTGTTTTTTTTTTTTTTAGTCTCAATTACTGAGTACCAATTCAAATGAGATACCTGAGGAGCAAACCACCACCCCTCACGTCTACCGGACGCAGTTTGAGCGTCTTTAAGCCATCAGTGTAGTTGAAAGTTGCATATACACTTCAAATCTGTCAACTCATTGAATTACGTTGAGACATTTATCGTCTCAAAGGAATGAATCCAAAAGTATTTGGTGAACCCAATAGTTTTCCTGTCAACCATGGATTTGTGTGGCTAGTTTTTTCCTTTTCTTTGCCACCTTATCCTCATTTCTTATCTATAGTTTGCCAATTTGTGTTAAACGACAGTGAATTTTGGCATTTTTACACAACAATAAATACATTTCAAGTATCAGAGCTACTTTGGAAAACTCAGAACACGACACGGCGGAGTCGGGTAGATGTTTTTTGGGGGCGGTGGTTAACCAGATCTTGACTGAGGAGAACTGTTACAGAGCTTCACCAAACCAAACCAATGCCATCCATCTGATCTACATGCATCCAATCATGCAAAGACTCGTGGGTATTTTTTTTTGCATCCAATCATGCAAAGACTCGTGGGTATTTTTTTTGTATTTGTTTTTTTTTTTTTTTTTCAAAGCATTTCTAGTCTTGAGAATGACTTTTTTATTTTCCAACTTGGAGTTAAAAAAAAATAATAATTTAAGAAAACTACCTCAGAGCAGCGTCAGGTGCTAGCTAATATTATCCCTAATTTATAACAATGGTAACAAAATCAAAAAAAATTGTAGTGACCAAACCAATACAAGCCAATATCACGCGAGAGCACTGTTCTTTTCTTGAACCTTAACGAACGGACGTAATCGACTGGTTGCTTGCTTTAGTTGGCTACAACTTAGGGGACCAAATTGTTTTTTTTGTAATTGGAAGTCTCATTGTTTTAGTCCTTTTTTCATTTGTACCTTTTGAATTTTATGAAAACAACCCAGCCGATCTAGGGGGACTCATTCACGTCAAAGGTGACTGGATCTTTCAGAAGTGCCATCGTAATCGCTACTCGCTACGATAACGTGTTCCAGCAGAACCTTGGTGATGAGGAGCGTTTGTAGAGGCGGCGGCGGCGGCGGCGGAGATGTATGAACAGCAATAATGTCGGAGCGTGGCTGTAGATCGTTGGTACTTTTTGGTCCTTCATACCAGACGGAACGCTCGAGAAACAATGTTTTTAAGTTGGCTTGGATAAACTTTGTCTCTATATTCGGAACCAGCATTTTTTTATTTTTGTTGCGTTTCTCCAGAACTACAAGGGTTTCCTACTGGATAGAGTTTCTGCCATGTTAACCCACAACTGCAATAAAAACCAGGGTGCATGTCCCTGTCTCATAAACAGTCTGCTTTACCTTCGAGTAGCCGCGCTCAGCTCCGTTTTTTTGGTTTGTTTTTTTGTGTTCAGGCTATGAGATGTAGTTTTGCATGTGACAATTAACAAAGGGAATCTACACATTTGAATATACTTTACAGCGTATCGAATCATCTTGACGAAAGGTACATACGAGGTGGCGTGGGCTTTTAAACTACAGCTAGTCGAACTGAAAACATCCGGCGTAGTGTTGATTTTTTTTTTTTATGTGTGCCTTTTGTCTGATCTTCTCTCTCTTTCTTCTCCATCTGCCCCAGCATTGGGTTTGTGAGTCTTTTAAGGTTTGACAAAAAAAATCCGCCACATAAAAAAAAAACAAATTTTTATTCATTATCATGCAACCTTGCGTGTAGATGCTGCATAGAACGATCAGTATTTGTGTTTTGCACTTTCAAAGCAGTCTCAAAAAAAAAAAAAAAAGAATTTGCCCACGTGAGGTTGGGCAGAACGTTAAAAAAAAAAAAAAAACTGACGAGGTATTTTATGCTATCAATAGGAATTATAAGGAATAATATGACTTTGAAGAGCTTTTCTAAAAAAAAAAAAAAAAAAAAAATTTTTTTTTATTTTTCATGAAAACCAAATAAAACCAATATATGCATATTTTCTTTTTTTTTTTTTTTTTTCTCTTTAGTGTACTTCATATTGTCCAATAACATTTTCATTTTCCCCCTCTTCGGGAGGTTTGAATGTCACTACAGGCTGTGCACATGCCATTAACCAGTTAACCTGATCGTTCTGTTTGTTACACCTCGTGGCCAAATGATAATGTGTCATTTATGCAATTTTAAATCTCATCCGAATATTCCTGAGCTCATATTTTCTGTCTTTTTTTTTTGTTTGTTTGTTTTGTTTTTGCATATTCCCTGTCTCCGTATAGCCAAAAAAAAAAAAATTATCGGGTGTGGTTGACAAAAAGACGTTGAGCATCTGTGGTATAACGCGACTGTTGACTCAGGTATCGCCGTGAAAGGGCTGTATCTGCTTACTGTGTCCCCCCATCCCCCCAACCTTCCCTCCCTTTCCTCACACACCTTTGTCTTAAAATAGCCTTAGATCTACACGTGAGGTTCTTATTTGGCCTTAAAAGTTTAACAAATTATGCACTACAATTTTACACACTTGACAAAAAAAAAAAAAAAAGCTTGATTCCCATTTCGACACTTGGTGTTTCCAGTCATTGCCATGTTATCTACCTCCTCTGAATGTAGGGTCTGTCCTGGAGTTGTAGTCGACTGCAAAACTTTCGATTTTCTTTTTCATTTAAGGAAAACAGACAATCATCTGTAGACCCTTGAAAGATAGAAAATATATCCCCCCACCCCTCGTCATTCACAGAGCTGATTCCAGGACACTCCAATTTCTCGTCATGTATTCTTCCCTCCTCCTCCTCCCTTCCCCTCGTTTTCATTTCCTACTTTTTAAAGCATGACGGAGA